TGCGGCGCTTGCGTGCCCGCGACGGGGACCGGGACTGGGAGGCGGGCCCTGTGGGGCGCCCAGAGCGTAGGACTCCCTGCAGGGACTGCGGAGTCGACCCAGGCCCAAGGAGGGTCTCACCAGCTGGGGGGCGTGGGCCAGGAGGTGCAGTGGACCCCTGCTGACTCTGGTTCCCAGCTTTAGTGGGTAAATTCTACCATTTGGTTACCTGTGGGTCAGGGGTAGGTTTCCCTTCTCTGTCCAAAACCTGCCACCTAGTTATCTGTTGGGCCGGCCCCTACGGTCTGGCCGGCTTTTCATTTATCTGGAGCAGTCCCTGCCGTCTGGTTAGTTGTCTCTATGTCCTGGACAGGTCTCCTTGCCACCACCATTTGACTGTCCATCTGTCCACTTCTGTAGTGCAGCCCCCTGCTGTCTGGCTAGCCGTCCAGGGTGACCTGTGCTGTCTGGCCACCCATCCATGCCCCTCATAGACTTTAACACTTAACTATCCTTCTGTTGGGTTATCTCAGCAGGCCTCTGCTGCCTGACTGGCTGTCTGGACCCTAGGGGACCCTGTTGTCTGGCTCTACTGGCCCGACTCTTCAGCTTGGTCCCTGGCAAACAAACACTTGGCTCCTCTCTTCCAAGTGGGTCCTTTTGTCTGTCTGTCTCAGTGTCTGTCTTTTTCTTAGTCTGCCCGTCAGTACCCTAATAGCTCTTGGCTGTCTGGCCCAACCTCTGGTAGAAGATGGTAGCAGCATAGAGAAGAGAAGGGAGCTGAAAGATGGGACTTGAACTTACTACCTTCTCAGTTGAAAGTAGGACCCTGGGGGGAGCTTTCTCCAGGATTTTTTCCTGGCCCATGTCAGGGCGTTCTAGGACCCTGGAACTCAGGGGCCAGACACCAAGCTAAAGCTTGTTAATTGGGAGCACTCTTGGAGCCTGGGAAGGGACTGTCTGCTCAGGCCTCCGTGGCAGGAGCTGGGATAAGGTCTTCTGTGGGCAGCACTGAGAAGCCTCAGTTTGCCCATCTGTCCAGTGGCAAATTCCACTCTCGGGGCTGTTTCTGGGATTCAGGAAGCTGTTGAATGAGAACCAGTCCCTTCTCCCTTCTTCTGCCTCTTGCCCTTCTGCCTTCCAGATGGGCGGCCACGTTTCCATTCCAGAAAGGATTCCACGTGTGACTGTGGCTGCCACGTGATAACGTCATTGTCATTATTATTACTGTCATCTTCGTCGTTGTCAGTGTTACGGAGTGATGTTCATTTAGCAGGCGCCAGGCTGAGTTCTTTCTTGGTTCAGCATCTTGAGTCTCATGATGAGCAAGTAGGGTTGAGGTTTCTGTTATCCCCACCTCAGAGAGGAGCAGCAAGGCTCAGAAAGGACCTACTGTTTGCCCAATGCCACCAGCCAGGTGCTCAGTGGAGCCCAGCTGGGCACCCGGGCCCTGCCCCTGCCTTTCAAGAGGCCTGGGGTTTTGTTCCTAGCGATACGAATTTCCTCTTTTGCTGCTTTGTCCCTGGCACTTTGTCTTCCATCCACTGTGGCAGAAAGGTGTGAGTTTGGGGTCAGCCAGGCCTGGGTCGTGGGCCCCTCTGCATGACCACCTTCCTACCTGCCCAGGCTTCCGGTGGGCATCTGCAAAGCTCTGTCCATTACATTTGCCTTTGCTCAGGTTTTTCACCTCTCTGAGCCTTTGTTTTCCCTCCTAAAAATGGGGTGATGGTCCCTCAATTGTTATAAGGATGCAGTGACGTAGTGTGTTGAGGTGCATACTTAGCACAACGCCTGGCATACAGGTCTATATGGTCATTATTTACTGTACCGGTTCCCTTCATATTAACAAAAGCTAATCACATTTTACACTGGACTTATGAAGGTGGCACTGCCATGATTCCATTTTACAGAGCAGGAAACAGGCTCAGAAAGCTGAGTATTCCTGCTTGAGGCTGTTCAGTGAGGACTTGGGGGCTTTGGGGAGGGCGAGTCTCTCCCTCTCCTCTCCACTTTTCTTCCATCCCTCTGCCCTTTGCCTTTCTCTCCTGCCCACCTTGGCATCTGGTGACTGCCAACTACTTCCAGTCTGGCTCCTGTGGCAACCTCTCAGAAGCCTGTAATGTGACATCATCGTTAAGAGCATTAATTGAGAGCCTGAGAACCAAAGATGTAAAAAGGCATCTCTTTAGGTATGAGATGCTCCAACAGAACCAATTTCCTTTTGTTTTTAGAAGGTGGGGAAGGCCCTTCAGCTACAAAGCCCTGCTTCAAGGGGATGGCAGGTGGGCTTCACTTTGAATTTCACTCCCGACTTCTTTTCATAAATGTGGTCAAACTTATCCCTCACACCGTGGACCAGTACAGTGAATATTCCGTTGGTTTCAAGCAACAGACAAGAGAGTGTCAAGGGCATGTGTCTGGGGTCAGCACAGGCTGCTCCGTTTCATTGCCTCCTCCTTGTGGATTTTCTAAGAATGTGCTCGGAGTGGGAATGACTCACTTAACTTAGTCGTGTGCCAGGGCTTGCCCATTGGTGGCCCTGGGGGCCAAGGTCTGCTTGTTCAGTCTTTTGTTTCGTCTGTGGTGGTGTTTCAAATGTTTTGTTTTTAATTTGCTGTCAATATGTAAAAATTGGATTTTGCATAAATATCTAGATTTTTGCAATGCTAGCAAACACCCCAAGATCTTTAGAGTTTAGTGGTGTAGCGCCCAGGCTCTGGGTGCAAGCCCAGCCCCGCCGTGTTTCTCTGCGCCTGTGTACCCGTGGCTGCTGCTGGTACAGTCTTCGTTTTCTGGCCTCCCTGTTGCCATGTCTCACTTGGCACCAACTGTCTGGATCCCAGAAGCAGCAGCCGCTGGTGGTTCAGTCAAATTAGGACTGGCCACTCAAGCTGCCGTAGTCCCTACCATGCCCAAGGGATTGCCCAGGCCCATTTGCATCCTGGCCCTGGAAACTTTTGAATTGAAGACCCCTGGCTTGTCCTGCTCTGTATCAGCTGATAGACCTGTGGCTTCCTCCTGACCCCTGTCATTTAGACTCAGGAGCTGGTTAGAGAGAGGGGCTTAGGAAATTTCTCCTTGAGAAAAGAGCTAGAGGAGGAGGCCAAAGTCAGGGCCTCTAACTCTGGAGGCCTCAGCTCGATTCTGTGAGCCTCTGTTTCCCCAGCTAGGAAATGGGCTGTTAACAATATCTATTCATAGGCCCATTCAGGTGTCCAGGTGGGTGTGTTTCACTTTCTTAAGAGAGATAAAGTCATCTGGTACCCCTCATCAAGGATGGAGTAAGGATGAAATGAGACCATTTAGAGTGCTTGGGAGTGTGTCTAGCACAGAAAAGGTGCTTAAAATGCCCTACATTTTTCATTTGTTTATTGCAACATGTTTCTGGCCCTGTTCTAGGGCTGTGCTCAGCCCTGAGCAAGATACCAAAACCCCTGCTCTGGGAGAGCTGGCTTTCCAGTGGGGGTGGGGGTGGGGGCCGCAGAGAAAGAAGGAACTTGGTAGAAGGTGATAACTTATGGAAAAAAAGAGCAGGATTAAGGAGAGCGCATGGGGAGCAAGGGGAGGTTTATAGTTTTAAATAGAGAGGTCAGGGAAGGCCTCTGTGGGAAGCGGACGTTTGAGCAGGGATTAAGGAAGTGAAGGGGGAGCCATCAGTGGAGACCTGCCGGAAGAGCATTCCAGGCTGTGGGAACAGACATTGCAGAGGGAGTATGCCTAGAGGCTAGCGTAGGGGGTAACTGGGGAGGTATTCTGGCTAGTCTGGGTGGGTGCAGGCCAAGTGGAGCCCTGCGCAGAGGGAAGGCTGCTGGTGGTGGCCTCACTACCACCTGGTCCTGGGCAAGCTGAGGGCTTTGGCTTTTGGTTTTCAGCTTTACCTCGATTTCTCAGTGAGTGGATCTGACGAATGCATGTAGGGGTCTGGTGCCATTTTGCTTTTCACAAGAAACAGCTCCCCATGGGACTCTGCCATCTCCAGCTGCATTTTCATTTGATCTTTGGTGATGTGTTCCTCCAGAGAGACATGGCTTCTGCCTGGCGGTGGACTCTGGATGAACTGTTGGTTCATGTCCCTGCCAGACATGGGGCACATGGTCCCTTATGGATCTTAGGTGTTTAAAACCACTTGGAAATAATGGCTACTTTTTCCATTGTCTCTTATTTTGGGCAAAACCAAATTGGCTTTGCCTGCGTGGTCTGGTGTATCTGGGCCAGCCATAATGTTGCAAGGCCAGAGGTGCCTGTGGGGATCTGGCCGTCTCTGCTGCTCGTTAGTTGAATGCCCTCACTTCTCTGGGCCTCATTTTCTTCCTCTGGAAAATGGGGATCACAGTGGTCCCTCCTTCCTGAGAGCGGCCAAGGATCACAGGAGCTAATCCTCATGAAACGTTAGACCCGTGCGTTTTGCAT